TATGTTAATTTTGTTTTAATTAACAGTGTTGTCTGATACCCATGTGGAATCATTAGGGGAAGACGTAAACAGTGAAGGAAAGTTTCCCTTTTCAACGATTCATTTCCATTAGCTGTTGTAGAATAATCGTAATTATATTTAACAAAGAATTCATAAGACGACCAGTCAGATGCTGGTGAAATTAATCCTCGAGAACGTAGAATGCAGTATATACTGCCCAGCTTCGCTGGTTAGATAGCCAGAGGAGAAAAAAAGAATACTAGCAGCTCCATCCTCGAACACTTTGTGAACACTCTGGACATCGAACACCCTCATCTGCATGAATGCTTCACAATGTTACACAGAGTTCCTCAATATTGTACGAAAGGACTTCGAGTAAGCCATCTGTAGATGGCTGGATCATGAGCTATCCGGAGGGATCTGAAACCGGACCTCTGAATTCAAAAGCATCATATACATTCACTCGCCCTACTGTGGCCAGAGAAACGTTCGTACTATAATTTTGCCTCATTTTATGATGTAAGTATACTGTTATCATTATTATTTCATAGAGGAACATAGGGCTTCAGTCGCATACATCTCCATTGCGTTTGGTTCTCTGACAACGTTTTCTCAAAGTATGACCGATCCGCCTTCATTTGTTCCTGTATATTTGTTGCACATTTGGTTTCTGCTGGGTTGCTTCGCTCCCAAAGATCACTGCTGCTGATCTTTCCTGGCCGGCCATCTGATCTTTGGCGAAGTATTGAGTGAAGCCAGCTATTGATGAAGGTCTGCAGTTTGTTCGAAGTGCGACGGCGTCAAGTCTCTGATCCGTATAATAAGTAGAGTTCTACTGACGTCACATTGCAGTTGAAAATCCAGATCTTATTTTCATGCTGAGTTCTGACCGTTGACCTCCACACAGACTTGGGAGTTATGAAAGCTTGCCTCGCTTTCTCGATCCTCGCTGCTTTGATATCCTTGTCAGTTCCGTCTACCTGTAGTTGAAACGATGCTTCCCAGGTCGGTCGGTCGGTAGGTGAAGGAGGTTGCTTCTTTCAGATTTCTCCCATTTATGCTGATTGTTGTCTGTTGTTGTTGCTGTGGCTGTTGCCCAGGAATCTTCATCACCTCTGTTTTCTCTTTGTTCACCTGAACTCCTATATTTGATGCTTCTGCCAACTTGTTGCTTTTCGCTTGCATATCTTCCAGTTTGTGGGAAATCAGACATATATATGCTGTCGGCAAAGTTCAGATCCTCCAAGTTTTTCGTGAGGGTCCATTTTATGCTTGTTTCCTCATTGCCCGCTGTTTGTCGCATTATTCAATCTACTGCAATCAGGAAAATCATTGGCGATAGTAAGCAGCCATGTTTTATTATCACTCTATTACTGTTTATTAATAACATTGCATTTTCATACATATTTCATGTAAAAACACTTTATGGTCTTTCCACTACTTCTTCTCCCGTCTACACAATTATACTGATTAGTCATTTTCTCGCACTTGTTACGTCATTCCAACTTCTGCCCCTTTTCTCATTTCCAGTTAGTTACTCCTTCTAGATTACACCTCACACCACGTAATACATATTCGAGGACGAATTTTACCAGCATGTGATCGGTTGTCTTATGAATTCTTTTTTTAAAAATAACTACGATTGTACAGCAGCTCATGAAAATGAATCGTCAAAAATAAAATTTTCTTCTCTGTTTACATTTTTTTTCATTTCATACCCATAATTTTGTGTTTTATCTGTATTCTTCACTGGACCGTTCTCGACTTCTGACCCTTAAGTAAAGTTGTTATTGATTTTATAGCTTTCGTGTGTAATTCTTGAATATTCTCAGAGCAAAATTAGTTAGGGCAAACAATTGTGGCTTCAATAAATTCTTCTTCTACTTCAGGCTCTACAATTATAAATCCATTCGTTTATGCCATACAATAGCCAGCCAGTAAAGGCAGTCATATCAGAAATGTATTGTGGAACAAGTGTGAGTAAGATGGGATGGAAGAATAGTCAGTTAGTTTTTAACATGCATGGTCTATAAGAACATGAGATAAAATGAGATGAAATCATTTAATGATTTGTGTAAATAGTATAGTCTTAGCCCATTTGGTAGATACTTGAAACTTAGTAAAACCAAAGCAGGCGTTCTATCTAGATGAGATCGACCACGTCTTTTGTCAGTATCTGAAGCCATAGCAAATAGTATCAGAAGACCATTATGTTAATCTTGGCCTACAATAAGCCCAACAAATCCTCCATAAACCTTGGTACTTTAAATTCCCATCGCAAATATTTCTTGTCTTCTTCTTTTCCCTTGCTTCATTGACAAACGTTCATTTCTGGCCTTTATACGACTTCATGACCTTTCTTATAATTTCTATTACCTTAGGATTAAGTAATAATTTTCTAACGTGTTAGCATATTTACAAGATCCTGTTCATTTCACTTCACTAAATTCATTATTATTATTATTTTTTAGTTGTTCACTTTTCAGTTTACACCACATCATCGTTATTATTATTATTTTACTATCATTATTATTGTCGTTATTCTCACTCTTGAGTCTATCCCATTTGTTGGTTTATTTTTCTGTAGTATTCATACTATCTCACACACCACTGATTTCACTCACTCTTGAAACCGGTATTTTTGTTGACTATATATATTCAAAATTTGGTTTTTGTATGGAATTTTGTTTGATTGGTTGGAGGTTTTCATCATGGCCTGACATCAGTTAGAGAACCATTGAAAAACATGGAAGTACTGGACAGCTGTTTCGTCCTAGTAAGCATCCACTGGGGTTCAAACCCAGAACGTCATGGTTACAGCTAACTGATGTCAACTCGTAATGAAATCTTCCAACCAATCAAACAAAATCGCCTACAAAACACCAATACTTGAAAATTAATCTGATGCTCACCAGCGACTGGCCCTATTCAGCCAGTTAACCTGGGGTTGTAGTAGAAAGCCTGGATCGAGTCCCAGTGGCTTCAGGGTCTACAAGCTTGCTCACCTTGTAACCAGAAGGTTCCGAGTTCGAACCTCGGTGGCTGCGTACTGATGAAGAGCCTCAAACTAGGCTGACGAAACAGTCGTCCAGTATTCTTAGATATTTATATATGTACATCACTAAAGTATTTCATCTCAGTTTATCTCATGTGCTCATTGACCATAGATATTCAAAACTAACTGAATACTGTTCCATACTATGTTACTTATACTTGTTCCACAATGCACTTTCTGATATGATTTTAATTTACCTTTACTGGCTGGCTGTTGTATGCTTAAATTAATGGATTTGTAATTGTGGAGCCTGAAGTAGAAGAATTTCTTGAGACCACAATTGTTCGCTCTAGCTAGTTGCGCTCTACGAAATCCCTAATCATTTCTATAAATACAATTAATGAGTTAGAAACATTTATTTCCCGATACGAATTTTAAACAAGCTACTGTGTATATCAGTTTGAGTGTGTTTTTTGGGGGAAGCAACTACACAGGTCTTACAAAAAGATGTGACTGCCTACTTGCGTGATACAGCATTTGCCTAAGTGCATGATATTGAGTCTTTCAGGTGATTTATCAGCAGACAAACAAAAAGGAAGATGCTTGCAATTACTGAGGAGGCTTGTGGAATTTGAGTTTTTAAACCAGGTCTCTGTGTACAAAAGGCAATGGTAGTCACCCGAAATCTACCATGGTAGTATGTTTTACTTATTAACTGTTATTATTATTAATATTTTATTCTACCTCTTATTATTATTCTTGATTCATTTAAAACTATCCTTTATCAGTAGCATTATCTTCACTCGTTTCAAAATTATTATTATCATTGTTGAGATGGCTCATTTCGCAATTCTTGATATATTTAAGTTCTTTCTCTGATAGTTAATTATTTTTATAAGGGACCTAACCGCAGTGAAATGCATTTTATCTTAAATTTAATTTCTCATACTCCCTCTACCCTTATCTATATGAGCATGACTTGAAAACGTATTCACACTTGTCATTTTACTTGATTAATTCAATGTAGTTTATTTGCTTATATCTGGATTGGACACTAGTAACTAGTGTGACGTGTCTAGTCCTTTCTTTGGGGCAGACTGAATTCTATCAGTCAGGTTTTGCAAAGAAAGGAGTAGACACGTCACACTAGTTGCTAGTGTCCAATCAAAGTACACACTACAGTCCTACAGGAGGTCAATCGCCAGCCCGAATTGTTCAGTGGTAACAACCCTGACTGCAAGCAGCACTGTGAGAAGCGGGTTCGAGTCTCAGAAGGCATATGAGTTCCTTCAAGGTTGCAGATACGCCTTGCTGACTGATGAGTGCCAACTAGCATGAAACCTACGTCAGACTGGGCTTCCTGTGGCCGATTGCCTCCAACTATTTAATATCAGTCTTTTATCTCGCAGTGTATTTCTGATACTACATGTATATATATATATGTCCGTGAATGTAGAGTAGTATTCAGCTGACGAAGAGCTGTACCGAAATGTGATGAATTCATCAAATCCTGCTTTATAAACCCTTGTTGTTTGTTTTACATGTCAACGAGCTTAATAATGAATTTTGCTCCTCTCTATTTTGCTACTTGGTTTATCATTATTCCTTTGGATTCCGAGTAGAACGTAGGGCTTCCACGGCACATTCCCAAATCGCCTTGTTCTCTACAGTCATTCTTATCTGACTGAAAACCACAATTGTCCATAGTCTGTCATCTCCTTCTCACACAGTTTCCTCCATGACACCGTAGGACGAATGACGCTCAACGCGTCGTTTCCAACTCAGTTCCCTATCAAGTGACGGCCTAGTGTGTGATATCATCCGACGGTTTCCTCAGAATACTTTTTTGACCAATAGGTTCACAAATGATTCTTTGCACTACAGAGTTTCTTATTGCTAATTCGTTCTCACTGGTTATCTGGCCAGCATCAAGAAGTACTTGCCAACACATCAAAAAACAAATAAAACATTTACACACCACATAAAATGAATCAAACAAAAACTTTTACAAACAAAAAAACAAACAAAGATAATATATATCAAAACTTACTTTTGATACTGATCGATAAATTAAGACATACAGAGTAACCACACAAATAATACACAGAATATAACTACACGTTTGAAATTTTTGTACAATTTTATATAGGACATCTTCAATCATTGTATGATTTAATCTGGTTATCTCTGTACACTCATATTTCTCATCCCCGATTGGATTAGATAAATCAATTGAAATGTTTGAATAAGATGTCAGCAAGTAGAGTGTAGTCACTGGTGTTGTACTGTTATTATTATTATTATTGTTATTCTGCATAAATGTTATATTCCCGCCATCATTATTATCATTCTTATAATCATGCATAGCATCTTGTTCCGGTCTACTCCTCTCAACACGTACAGTAAACGTTGAACTAAACCCTAACAGTAAGCATATACAAATTAAACTGAATATTACACGTTTAGCGCATTCTCTTGTCAGTATATTCTTGAATGGATGACACAGACAAAAGTATCGATCAAATGCTATACAACTAATCAATAAACTACTAAATGGGATGAATGAATTATTAATAAAATAATAGAATTTACACAGAAATGTTGAATCAATATTCCATTCAAGATATTCAATAATCATTGTACCAGGGATAAGTGTAACACAGGCTAAAAAATCTGAGATAGCCAGCACGAGAATAAACAGGGTAGCTGTTAACCGGTCATGTTTCAGGGCGTAAACAATTATCACTAGAATATTGCCAAGTATACCAATGATACAAATAATTCCAAGCATAAATAATACAGTCGGTATTTGACTGGATAGATTTGCTGTCATAAGAGACATGACAGTTCAGCGTGTCTGATGATGTAATACACGTCTTTGTAGATGTATACGTATATATATATGTAAGCAGGTATGTATGTATGTAGATTTGAATATGGCGCTTCGTTACAAGTTCTGTAAACAGATTCTTGACAGGAAACACTTTGAAGATTGAATAATCCTCTTCTTTAGCATAATTTTTATATTGATTAGAAATCTAAAATAAGAAAGTAACAAGATAAATAAAGATGATGGTGTTTGTCAATGAATATTGAAGTTTCACTGGAAAAGAGTAAAATCAGAATATTAATAACACCACTTAGATAAATTCATTACTGAACCTTGTGTCATCTGATATAAGAATAAAACTTGTGATTCCATATTAGTTTGTTTATTAGATGTATCACACGAGTGAAACAGTATTATTTACTGGATGACGTTTCGAACAATCATTGAAGGGTATGAGATAAACTAAATCTAAAACAGGAACTGATACACATAAAAGAAGCCTTGAAACTTAATAATTACCCGGATAAATTAGTCAACAAATATGTAAGGATATCTAAAAATAAAATAAATAATGATAGTAGCGATAGTGATAATAACAATAATAATAGTGATAATAATAATATTAATGACGACACCAATGATAAGGAATCTAAATCATCAGTAGTAATTCTGTACAAGGAAGGAACCTCGGAAGCCTTACGCAGAATTCTTAACAAGGCAGGAATAAAAGTGCTTGGCATTCAAACCTACAAAATCAATTAGAAACAAGCTTTGTCGGTCAAAGGATCAATTCTGTGGAGCCTTTAAAACAAAATAATTCAGTTTATCTAATACCCTGCCTGCAATGATTGTCAGGTCAAATACATAGGTCAAACTAGTAGAACAGGGGCAGTCAGACTAGCTGAACATAAAAACCTAACAAAATCTAGATTGGTTGATCCAAATAAAATAAGAAATCTAGAGAATAGTTCAGCTATAGCACTCACTACATGCAGTTACACACAACCATACAATAGGATGGGATAAGATGACAATTTTAAAATCTAATGTCACAGGGTATGGGGAGAGATTGATAACAGAAGCTGTGTTTATCGAATTAACTGAAGAGAATACGTGTAATAGAAATAATTCAACACCTGTCTCGGATATCTGGAAAATTCTACTACCCAAACGACAAATAAGAGAGAACAAAGAAAACTATAAAACTCAAGTGTCAAAGTCTTGTGATTACAATTGATATGATTATGAACAATAAATTTTGTTCAAAACCTCGTCATTCAGTAAATAATACTGTTTCACTGTGTGATGCATCTAATAAACAAACTAATATGGAATTACTTACTACCACAGTGCCCAAGTTTTACACATATAATAATAAAACTTGTGCACTGCAGTGGTAGAGTATAGTTTCACTGTGGTTAAAATTTTTTTTGATAAAGTCTCACAGTGTAGTGTTATACAGTAATATTTACTACTGATGACCACGTTTCCAGCACAATTCATTACTGATTATAATCTCATATCAAGGCACTACTCACAAAACTTTATCACTTCGTTCATTTAAATTCATTGTATTCCATCGCTTGATTTGATTGGTAGTAGTATTTTCAAAATTTTTCCGGTATGAGGGATGAGTCATTTCTATTGCATTTGTTGGGTGTAGACTCGATGAACCAGGACTCAGTAATCAATCTTTCTCTCCACCTACCTATATTACTTCTTAGAATTGTAAACCTGCCCCACCCTATTGTGTGGTTTGGTGTTAATGCATGCATGCAATACAATTTCTGAGTTTTTTTCAAATTACTTATCTTCTTTGGGTTAATCATTGTAACCTTAACTAAATTCTTATGTTCCGACAATCTGATCACCCCCGAACTACTAGTTTGACCTCACTGTCATTGCGAGGTATTTTGTAAATTATATTATTTTGTCTAATTGGGTCAACCGACAGGGTCCTTTAATTTACAGAGCTTTTCATGCCTGTCTGAGTGATTTTGTAGGTTTGAATACCACCAGCCTAATTCCTGCTTTATTGAGAATCCTACGTAGGGAGAGTCTCAGATGTCCCCTCCCTCCTTATATGGTAAATCTACTGCAGATGCCTTATATTCTCTTTTATTTATGCTATCATTACTAGTTTCACAATTATTTCCATTTTGATTTTGGTCTTTACTGATCTTCCTAATAAATTTTATAGGATAGTTATTTGATACCACCGCTACTTCTTCGATCTGTTTTATTTCATCAGTCAAATCAAGCGATGAAAGATAATGGAATTATATAAACGAAGTTAGAAAGTTGTGGGAGTACCTTGTGTCAACTTCATACACAAACTAGAAAATCAAGTAATTACATTGTAACAACAGAATACAAGCACCAGGCAACAGACCATTTATTGAGAAAATCAAGAGACATTTACTAATTTTTATGTACATTATTACTCGCGTTATTGTTAGCACAGAAGCGACATCTTCTAATTGGTCGTTTTCTTGCTCAAGGTTGTTGTGTACTGCCTGTGATCGCTTCTTAGAAAGTTAAGCCATATATCTGCGAATCGTATCTGCACACGCTAAGTCTGCTATAATTGGTTGTTGAGTTCCTCAAGGTTAAGCTTTGTTATTGCTTTTTTTCTCGCATGACCCCGATTCCGGACGTAAACATTGACGTAAATTGTTGTCTACAATTTTGGCTTGCAGACAGTTAACACACTTTAGTTAGAAGTGAGAAAGAACGAACATGTTCGCAGGATAATACGACCTCGTTTTATTTCTTGGATACTCTTCAACTGCATACGTCTTAAACAGAATCAAAATATAAGTTTCAAAAAAGGTTTTAGAACATACTTTTTCATAATTATTTGGAGTTATAGATAGAAGTTACAAACGAGGTCTAGTAAAAACGCTCTTCAGCAGAGCCAAAGAAATATGTTCGGAAGACAAGATTGAAGAAGAACTCGCGGTCATCGAAAAGAACCTTATCGAGAATGGATATCCTCGAAAGTCCATTTTAAAGTATAGAAATCAAGAAGCACACAAACCGAAACTTGACACCGTTGAAAAGAAACCAGTTTTCATCTGCCTAGCGTACAAAGGAGAAGACGTATCCAGAAGAACACAAAAAAGAATCACAGGTGCATTAAAAAGAACAGTTCCAGCAGCCAGACTGATCCTATTTCACAGCACTGTGTGCTCATTAACCCAGTCGAAAGTAGATGAGTACCCTACTCACGTCAACTCCAACTGCATTTACCAATTTACTTGCCCTTACGGAAGCAAGTGGATAGGAAGGACTGAGAGGAGAACATCTACTAGATTTTCTGAGCACATTCTTAAGAGTCTTCGTACAAAGAGAAGAAAAGTGTTATCGAGTGCAATCGCCAGACGCTTAATTGACACAGGACACACAGTAGAAATTAGCCAAGCCTTCAAAATAATGAATAAGCAAAGAAACACATGGCTACTTCGTTTCGCAGAAGCCACTGCTATCAAGAGACTTCGACCAGACCTCTGTATACAAAAAGATAGTGTGACTAATCTTTCACTACCCTGGTAACCCTAATTCTATTTTATTTTTGTTTGCCTTCTTGTCAGTATGCTTGTGTGTTTGTCTTCAATTTTGACTTTCAAGTTTCTAAATCTACTTAATTGTCTGTTTAAGTTTAAAAAATGTTACTTCACTATTCACCCCCACCCTCTAAAACTCTCCACCACAAGATGTACAAATTCACTCTGTTCTCTGACCCTGACCCTGTAATATGCCTCTAACCAATCTGTGTTTTCCAATAGAAATCTGAAATCTAACCCCTCTTATCTAATCCCACCAAATATAATTAGTTGTTTTTTTTTGACACTGAATAATCTGTCTACCGATATCAAATTCTGGAATTATGTTCCTTATACCTTCTATCTATGAAAAAGTATGTTCCAAAACCCCTTTTTGAAACTTATAATTTGATTCTGTTTAGGATGTATGCAGTTGATGAGTATCCACGAAATAAAACGAGTTCGTATTATCCTGCAAACATGTTCGTTCTTTCTCTCTTCAAACTAATAAAGGGAACCGGTTGTATGAAACACTTTAGTTAATTAGAGATGAACTGTTTTAGTCATCAATGTAAAGTCACAGAAGATTTGTTAACAAAGGACAGGAAAGGTAGTAACAAGACATGGAGAGACATATACTGTAAGATTACGTAAGTCAATAGTGGTAATAATCAATCGTCGGTTTGCAAGGATTTGATTGGTTACAGATTAAGTAATAGATTGGCTAAAATTATAGAACTATTCGAAAACCTGGGAGTACTGAAATTATTAATATTATTATTCCCTTGGGTTCCTAGTGGAACATAAGGCTTCAACTGCACGCCTCCACTTGCTTCTGTCTTCTGCTGTACTTTTCACCTGCATCCATGTTAATCCATACTGTTTCAACTCCTCTTCACACGATCTCCTCCATGTCACCCTTGGACGTCCCACTCGCCGCTTCCCTTTCGGGTTCCACTCCAGCTATGGCCTGACGCGCGATGTCACTTATCGGCCTCCTCAGTGAGTGTCCAATCCATCTACACTTCCTCCCGCATATTTGTTGGGCGATTGGTTCTTGTTTCGTTTGTTCCCATAGTTTCTTGTTGGTGATTCTTTCCGGCCATCTAATCTTCAGTATAGATCAAAGACAGTTGTTGATAAAGGTCTGCAACAGGCTGTTGGAAATATTCTTTGTGACCCGCCAAGTTTCTGATCCATCCGTATAGAAGAACTGACTGACTTGACGTTTGTATTGAAAATCCAAATTTTGTTGTTGATGCTGAGTGACGAAGATTTCCAGATTGGTTTCAGGTTGATGAATGTGTTTCTCGCCTTCCCGATTCTCAATTTGACATCCTCGTCCGTTCCTCCTGTAGTTGAGACAATGCTCCCTAGATAAGTGAATGAAGTAACCTCTTTCAAATCTCTCCCGTTGATTGTGATTGGCGCTGGATGCTGAAAAGCTGATGCTAACTGGTGACTGGC